TATATATATATATATATATATATATATATATATATATATATATATATATATATATATATATATATATATATATATATATATATATATATATATATATATATATATATATATATATATATATATATATATATATATATATATATATATATATATATATATATATATATATATATATATATATATATATATATATATATATATATATATATATATATATATATATATATATATATATATATATATATATATATATATATTAAATTAAGTCAAACACATCTATTTTTGCTATTGTGCTACAGTATATGTTTTTTTTATATTATATTGTATTGTTTTATATTGCAAACACAACCTAGATGACATTCAATAAATAATTTGAATCCATTGAGATATTGAACTCAATCCCTTTCAGGGCATCTGTAGTTGTCCACCTTGATTGTGGTTCTTCATATATATATATATATATATTTTTTTTTTTTGTTATTCTTGCATAGTTCTTAAAGCGATAGTTCATTTAAAAAATATATATATAATTACCTCACAATTTACTCTACTTCATATGGTTTTAAACTTTTGCTAAGTTTTTGCTTTGGTTAAACACAAAATAAGATATTTTGAAAATAATGATTCATGATACGCTGACTTTCATAGTAGAAAAAAATACTTTGGAAGTCAAAGGAGTACCATCAAACAACATTTTTTAAAATAACTTCTTTGTGTTCAACCAAGGAAAGAAACTTGAACAAGTGAAAGGTAAGTAAATTATGACAGCTTAAAAATTTGGGTGAACTGTCTCTTTAACAAAATCCACAATGAAGCACAATGCTTTATGGGTAGCGTAGTATTACCAATTAGAGCGACTTTTGACACACTCTTTTAAAGTTACGGTTCTTTTCCGTAGTACGATAATTGTAATATTACAAATAATTTAGGACAGATTTTATACACACTTAGGTGCTGTGAAACGGTAGGAGGTAGGAAGTGAGTTTTATGTATTAATCCCCAGTACTGACACATTCAGGATAAAATGAACGCAGTTGTTCGGAGTCTTTTTTTTTGTTGAAAACAAATCTGTCTGATACTCATTTTATGCTACAGTTTTTTGAACAACAAATAAACATTAAATAACACTGAAACATTTTTTTTAAAGTATTGCGAATAAAGCTTCTATTATTCACCTGGTGAAAGCCTGAAGGAGCTATTTCCTCTAGTCCAGCAGATGGCGCTGTGTTGTCAGTGCAATATAAGTGTGTGTATCCTGATGCTCACGTTTTCTAGCTCTTGTTTTTGACCCTGTGCTGAATATAAAAGAGCAAGAGGCCACTACATATGTCAGAATTCGTCCTGCAATCACAAAAAAAACAATTCAGCTAGCTTTTCAATTCACAAAAGCAAAAAATCTTGGCTTACTGCTCACTCTTCAATTTCCGGAGCTCCTCGGCTGCTCATATCAAGTGTTTACTCTTGTGCTGAGAACATGAAAAGGCGAGTTCCCGTAGTGCCACATCCTTCAATCTTGCCTCCAGAATTACTTTTCTGCTTTAAGGATCGAAGCCTGCTTTTGCTTGAACAGTGTGGATTCTTTTCCATGACAAAAAAAAATCATTGTCATAATCCCCATACTACCACAACAGCTTCTTTGACACTCTCAACATGCAAATAATCCATTGACAATGTCAGTGTTTGTGTGTAAAGTCCACTTGAAATCAAAATTCACAATATTTATTTTGCAAGCTTACATTGTTAGTTCTTAAGGCGAATAATAAATCTGTGAGTTGGTTAATCCGAAAGTTCACTCATTCATTCATTTTCTTTTGAACATGAACTTTCAAACTCCTCACAGAAATGCCAAATGACGAAACTCACTGCTGTGAGGTGATCATGCTACCCACTGCGCCACTGTGACGCCAGCATCCATGCAAGTTAATCCACTTAAAAAAATAATAATAATTTTGCTTCAATGAAAGTTTGAGCATTTGCTTCCACGTTTGGAGTGGCGGTCCTGAGGGTTTACAGAGCAACTGTATTGATGGGGATTAAAAACGTCACATATTTGTGTCGATATAGTCACACTCACAACCACAGTGCATTTAAATGAGACTAAATGAAATCAATTTTTTGCTAAAGGATAAACAAATACTGGTTTTGATGCTTCTGATGAGACCTCGAACTGTGTTTTGTTCATTTTAATTTGCAACGTGTCTCTGTCAAATTTCTTTTTTGTACATTTATTCATGGCTTCACTGCTATTTGCCGTGGCCATTAATTCTAAGACACACAGCCTATTACTGGTGATCAGAAAACTCACCCAAAACAACCGTAGGTAAAGAAAATACATTCTGATGATCTACTGAACCACAGAGTCTAGTAATAACCTTCAACACCAGTGAAATGTACAGTGCATCTGAAAAGGTTTTATAGAGCTTCACCTTTTCCACAATTGTTAATGTTACAGCCTTATTCCAAAATGGAATAATTTCATTTATTTCCTCAAAATTCTACACACAATACTCCATAATGACAATGTGAAAAAAAAGAGTTTTTTAAATTGTTGCAAATTTATTTAAAATAAAACACCTGAAAAATCACATGTACATCAGTATTCACAGCCTTTGCTCAATACTTTGTTGATGCACCTTTGGCAGCAATTACAGCCTCAAGTCTTTTTGAATATGATGCCACAAGCTTGGCACACCTGTCAATGGGAATTTTTGCCCATTCCTCTTTGCAGTACCTCTCAAGCTCTATCAGGTTGGATGGGAAGTGACGGTGTACAGCCATTTTCAGATCTCTCCAGAGATGTTCAATAGAATTTAGGTCTGGGCTCTGGCTGGGCCACTCGAAGACATTCACCAAGTTGTTGTGAAGCCACTCCATTGACATTTTGGCGATGTGCTTTGGGTCATTGTCCTGCTGGAAGATGAACCGTCGCCCCAATCGGAGGTCAAGAGCACTCTGAAGCAGGTTTTCATTTAGGATGTCTCTGTACATTGTGCATTCATCTTTCCCCTTTATCCTGACTCAGATGCTTTTTGGCAAATTCCAGGCAGGGAGTGGCTTCTGTCTGGCCACTCTACCATACAGGCCTGATAAGTGGATTGCTGCACAGATGGTTGTCCTTCTGTAAGGTTATCCTCTCTCCACAGAAGAACACTGGAGCTCAGACAAAGTGACCATCAGGTTATTGATCACCTCCCTGACTAAGGCCGTTCTCCCCTGATCACTCAGCTTAGATGGCCGGCCAGCTCTGGGAAGAGTCTTGGTGGTTCCAAACATCTTCAACTTCAACGGATGATGGAGGCCGCTGTGCTCACTGGAACTTTTAGTGTAGCAGACATTTTTCTGTAACCTTCCCTAGCCTTGTGCCTCGAGACAATCCCGTCTCGGAGGTCTATAGACAATTCCTTTGTCTTCATGCTTGGTTTGTGCTTTGATATGCACTGTCAACCCTGGGACCTTATATAGACAGGTGTATGCCTTTTCAACTGCCCAATCAACTGAATTTACAACAGGTGAGCTCCAATGAAGCTGCTGAAACATCTCAAGAATGATCACTGGAAACAGAATGTACCTGAGCTCAATTTAGAGCTTCATGCCAAAGGCTGTGGGGTATTGTGTGTAGAATTTTGAGGGTATAAATGAATTTAATCCATTTTACAATAAGGCTATAACGTAAACAATTGTGGAAAAAGTGATGTGCTATGAATATTTTCCAGATGCACTGTATATTATACTGTATTTCGCATTGTTCCGAGGACAATTTGCAATGCCCTAAACAGAAACTAGTAAGCAGACATGACACCCAAGCAACTAATTTGCAAGGTCAATATTTTAACTCGAAATCTGTTCAATATATGGCGCACCACCACTAAAACATAACCAAAGTACCAATATTTGAATAGCCATGTCAGGAAAGCATTCAAACTTTACTTTTCTCGTTTTTCCCCCTTTTATTTTTAAGGGGGTGGCAATTTATCACTGCATGCCAATAATCCTCAGTGCACTGCTGGGTATGTATGTAGTTCTGTGGAAATTGGGAACTCTATCGATTCTTGCAGTATGATGTATGACTAAGTTATTCTAAGAGATGTAGTGCATCAT